TATGTGAGCATCCTGTATTGAGATTATTTTCCCATCATATGGCCCTGATTTGCATGACATGGTTTACCTGACATAATATTAATATATATACTTATAAGGACCTTAAATATTTATATATATTAAGTTGGTGTCTCGTTATAAATATTCTCACCACCAACTCTGAACTTTCCTACCCAATCTGTTATATTCAGAAGCCTGAAATTCATTGCCTAGGACTATGAAGGACACTATCAAAAGGCATGTTTTATGTCCTGAGTAATGATCAAGCTCAGTGTTTGACCTACCACTTAAACCTCCAACATGTTGGTACAAGTCATGGAATGTTACATTATAACCAGAGTTAAGAAAAGTGTATCATTTTCCCAATGATTTCTGTTACTAACTGAAACAAAGTTGCAGATAAGTGCTGCAGAGAAAAATCTTTAGTAACTGTTATGTTCCTTTTTTGTAGTTTAATGGATTTTAAAAATAAACAAGGTAACTCAATGACAGTGAATTCGGTACTTTTAAATAGCATTAGTATGTATAACAATTTATAAATGAAGGGAATAATTCTCAGACATATCAAGTAAATTTCCCTAGATCTTTTCCCTATCTCTGCACATTTTTAGTTTCCTTCAATGCATATATGTATAGATACATTCACACACATACACAATGATGTACATATCATAATTTGTAATTTACCTATTTGTCTTTTATTTATTTTTGCCCACCTTTCCTCACAACCATTTAATCTCCTTAAAGGCAAAAACCACTGTAGCTCTAGCATTTGGTATGTGCTAAAAATACATTTAATGACTGTTAATAATAATGGTGTTCAGTAAAGAACATTTCTTAAGCATTTACTATGTGCCAGGCAATGACGCCTTGAGTGTAACTATGCTATGCAAATCAGGACCGTGCATCAATGTGATTAATGTATGATTTGATTGCCATTTTGAAACATAACTCATTGTATTCTGTATTACCACTTATCTCCCTTATCCTCTCTTCCACCTCCACCCAAAACATATTTCAAAAAGACATATAAGCATGCCAGTGTCCTCTCTGAGTGAAACGCACATCTGATGCCCCCCACTCCCCGCCCCTCCATCCTCACTTGGTGTTCTCCTTCATCACCACCATCAAGGAAGGAGGGATGCCGTGCAGAGCAGGGCATCAGCGGGAAGATCACTTAGTTTTTATCTTTTCTTTTCCACATCAACTGTAGACAGTTTCTTGGTTTAATGCTCACTGACATTTCTTTATATTTGTTCACTCAGTCTTCCAAATACTACTTGAAGGTATTTTATAACCAAACAGCTAGAAAATGTCCCTTACCATCCTAGAAAGAGTATACAATCACAGAATGTATAAATGGGGCCCCCACTCAGGGATGCCCTCACTTTTTAGTTTGATCTGATTTTAGATTCACAGATTAGTTGCAAAAAATTATGGAATTCTACATATTTCACCAAGCCTTGCCTAATGTTACCTTCTTACGTAATCATGATTCTGACCCTACCATACTGCCCCTACGGTCACTAGGGATGCTGACTGTCTTTTTCCCCTTGGGGACCACATTCTATCTTCCACACCCTCTTATGTGCCACAGAAGGCTGATCAAGATATATCTCATCAGTGGGCTCCTTGTTCTTTTCACTTCTTATTGGGCTCAACCAATGAAAGCACAAGGAACTGAAGGGCTGGCGATTTATTTCCATACCCCCTTCTCTGACCTCCTCTTTACAGAAAGATCCCTTTACCAAATGGCCACAACAAAAGCTTCGGCTCCCTCTATTCAGCTATAACTCTTCTACCTGGGTTTCTGCTCCCAATCCCTTGCCCCTTCAGACCTAGGAGTGGCAATAGCTCTGTGATGTCATTAGACTCATCATTCTTCCTTAGCCTACCCACACCTTTCAAACAATCCCTTTATTACCTTTTCTTCAACACCCCCAAGTTGACCGTGCAATCTGATTTTCTCCAGAGACAAAGACTGACAATCTAACCCAAGTGCTATTACAGCGAAATTGACTTTCTGTAAGGGAATACATCCTTTTACCCCAACACACAAAGTAAAGATTTTTACATAAATGTTTTTACTAAGGGAAGTCCAAAACAAAGCAACTCAGGAGTACAATGTCAAGAATCAAGGCTTGAAATTATTTCACGCCTTTATCTCATTCGAGAGTCATGGGAAGTGGCTCTCTACATATGAAAATAACTCTAGTATTCATTAACAGTTTGGGCAGCAACCTGGTTTTAGCACCAGTAGGGGCAGAAATTTGTGTTGACCGGCTACCCCCGCCCCTCAATCATTTGATTCTAAGAAACTATCACTTCAGCTAGAGGAAAATGGTCTCTTTGGTCAAAAATTTGAGATCACTATTGTCTTAAATTTTTATTTACAGTACAATGAATATAGGTTATTGACAGACAATAAATTGTTCAAGGGTAAGAAGTGTGAGATACACCAGGCAATTTTAGTCCCACAAGTGGATTTAGTATTTATTAGTTAGGAGGTTTAGCATTGGATGAGACAAGCTTCAGTTCAATACCCAATTTCCTTGATCAGACTCTCTTATCTATCCAACTACTTCCTCACTGATGAGGATGAAAATGAAAGTTAGTCAAGATACATGCAACATGTACCCTGACAAAGAGCAAAGAACCCAGGATAGCTGAAGATTTAAGAGGCCAGACAGAAGAAGTTGACTAATTCTCTGGTACAATGCCAAAGACAACAAGAGAATTATGCCGCTTCCAGCGGCACAGGAAGTCCTCATTCATAAAACCTCAACCTGTTAGTTGGACTCTCCCTCACTCTCTCTTCCAAAACGTGGCTTTAGTTTTCTTAACATCTCCTTCAGGGTTACATAATATTCTACATTTGTTCTAACTGTATCTTACAGGATCAAGATAAAAATCTCCAAGTATTTTAGTGTTTCCTCTATGGAGCAGAGAAACAAAGCTTTCTCAGGAGAACAAGAGATATGATGCTCAACAGAACATTAAATAAAATATTTTGAAATGCCAACATCATGGCAAAATTCCTTTTTTTCTTTTAGAGCATTTTCCTATTCTTTTTTAAAAAACAATGTTATTTATTTATCCCTAGAGAGAGGGAGAGAAATGTTGATGTGTGAGAGAAACATCGATTGGTTGCCTCTTGCACATGCCCCCAACCACCTGTAACCCAGGAGTGTGCCCTGACCAGGAAGCAAACAGGTGACCTTTCACTCTGCAGATGATGCTCAGCCAACTGAGCCACACTAGTCAGAGTGCATTTTCCTCCTCTGGTACAACAGTTGATAACTACAGAGGAGAGTGAGCGAGAATTTGGTTCTGCTTGCTGTGGTACATGAAATTCAACCACCCATGGGTACTTACTCTTTTAAAAAGGGAGAGTCTATTGCCATGATTCAAAAAAGCAACACACTGTATATTTATTTCTGAAATTTATTTCAGGTGACAGGACACCTACAGACTAACAAAATAAATATAGAATTAAATAGTACTCCCAAAGCCCAATGCCACTTCCTAGCGAAGGCTGGTGATTTAAGCTACCAAACTTTGTCCATGCTTCTATCTTATGCCCTCATCCCTGCCTCCCACAAACTTGAGAGTCTTTTATAATAGTAGAACTGAAACTACTTCTCTCTTGACTATTTTAAGACAAAACACCTAAGTAGGACTTTAGGTGATATACTTGTATAGTTGAAGGGGACAGTCATAGAGGGTGGGTAGATTAATATGCAGGAAAAGAAACAGAAAAGAGTTTAATTTACCTTGAAAATAATCAGTATTCTATCTGTCCAGACCAAGTGAGAATCTGTGCCAAGCAATTACATTCACTTACAGTGTCTAGTACACAGATGACTATATGGTAAATATTAAATAAGTGCTTGCTGGATGATGGAAATTGTACATGGCAATGTTGTGTGCACACAGGAAACAGAAACTTGAGGAGATCAGACAAATTAGAAGGCAATACAAGGTTTGGTTCTCCAGGTCAATAACACTTTCAAGATACACCCTGGGAAACAAGTGACATAAACATTTGCCACATTCATAGTCCAACATGTTTCTCTTTAAATGCTAAAACTTTATTTGCAAATGAAGAGCTATAGGTTAGAATATTATATTGTAAGTGCACGATATAATTTGCAAGGCCAGTAGTTTTATTGCTTAATATGTCTTCTTGAATTTAAAAGGTTGGTTGCTCAGGTTGGTTACATTTATAATAGCAATATACCACTTGAAATCTTTTAACACATAGGCACTTATTTGCTAGACCAAAGCTAGCCTCGAACTTTTAGCAATGCCCTATGCTTTTAAATTAACCCTTTTCAATACTGTACGAAGCTCATAACATGAATCACCAGCTTATAATCAAATTAGCTTTCCACTAAATACTCATTAGGCAAACTATTGAAAATAAAGAAAACATGCATATTCCTGTAGCTCAATGAATGTCAACATTAAAGATGGTCTAATAAAAATTTGGGATTCAGCAATTGTCATTGGGCTCTAAGATTTCAATGGCTTATACATTTTAAGATGAACTGAAATCTTCGAGGACCCTTTCTTTTAGAAAGAAAAATTGCACGTTTTAAAATGGTATCTAATGGAAAGTCTATTTAAATCATAATGGACCATAGCTGTCAACTTCAAACAGTGGCTTTCTTCTTAGGAGCTCAAGTTTACACACTGGAGCAACACCACAAATGCAGATGCTACAAAGGAGGCTATGAAGAAAAATAAATTTTATTCACAGCACTTTGCACATGAACTTTTGCTTCTGCTAATCTGTGTGGAGTGGAAAATAAAGGATGCTAACATGCACACTGTGCAGCACATCTGAAAAAGAGAAACCACTGTACTTGAGTGGAAATTCATTTACTGAGAATCTGGGAAAATGCACATCCTCTATGCTCCAAATTTACTTCTAAGTGACAGAAAAATACTATATGAAATGGAAAAAATTAAATATGATTTAATCAATAGCTGATTACCTTTAAAACTTTGGGCTTCTTTTCCCTCTGGGGCCTCTTGTTTTCCTTTATAACCTAAAAAAAATCAAATTGCAAAATGAGCCTCCATTTAAGAGAAAAATTAACTCCCATCCCCTAAAAAATTTTGGCTATTTCTCTATAAAACTACTTATACCATTTAAAATCATCAACATGTTTGCTAAGCAGAACCTACAGAGCTTATGTAAAATGTATACTTTAAAAGTCACTGAAAAAAAAAAAAGCCTTGCATAAAGATGAAGTAGGGAAATACCCTTTTTTCCCCTTAAAGTCTGTCTTAATTAGCCTCTGCATTCTTCACGGCGAAGCCCACGAGGTAGCCATCTTGCTTGCTTCTGCAGAGGAAGCCTCTACAGTGGAACAGTTCTGCAAACTGCTTTTTGGTATTATTATCATGGTGTTTAAAGGCAGCCCTGGCCTGCCAGCACTGTAGAAGTGCTGGGCATGCCTTTTGCAAAAACAGCCCCACAAAGAGTGCAGCCAATGGCAATGCAGAGCTTAGCAACTCCAAAGTGATCTTCTCTGCCTAGCCTTCCTAGACAAAGGATCTCCTGTGCAGCTCTGCTCTCACCACAGGACACAGGCAGCCACAAGCTGCGACATGGAGTTCGCTGCAGAGGATCTGGTCGCAATGAATTCACAGGAGGCTTCAGCAAAAACAATGCACACAAATCCCCCAGGTCTCCACCATCGGATCGATGGCGGAGTCTCCCTGATTAGTAACCTCTTGGTGGCTCCGAGGGCAGGTCCACAGTGGGGGGAGAAGGGGGGGCTGTGCAGCACTGCCTCCAACATACAGAAGATATAACTGAGCTCTGGTGCCGGGGACAGTATTTGGACTTGATGAAATTCTGGAAGGTATTGTGCATTTTTACTTTATAAGGCAAGGCTAAATATTGGCGATATTTAAGGCAGGGAGGTTATGTGAGGACAGTGTAGGCTCAGCTGTTGGGCTGCGTGTCTCATTCCTCCGGAACCACACCTCTCCGCGGCGGGCGCTTTGCCCAGAAACACAGCAATTTGATTTCTGTCAATAAATGTCCAATGACAAAGGCGGGTTTAAAAAAAAAAAATGAAGCCACTTAAAAGGAAAAGGACAGGATAAAGACATGAAGTAGGGGGGTGGAGTTTTCAAAATACACTTGCCACTCTGTGGCTGGAGAGAAAATCCAGTTTTGCTCTCCCTCTTGCTCTGGACATTTCTGGTGACCTTCATTTCCCAGTGAAATCTCTCCCTCATAACTTTGGGACAAAGAAGCACCTTTGGCTTTGACCCCTCTGTCTATCAAGATCAACTGTCACTGAGCATCTCTCCGTAGAGATGCTCAGTAGGTTAGCTCCACGTGGACCCTGTCTGCACATCGGACTGATGCTCAGACAGCTACCCACTTCCTGGGGACTGAAACCTGAGCCAGAGGTGGAACAGGCAGCCACCCACACTCACACACCTGAACTGTCCCTATGTCCAGTGGCTGGTGGGTGCTGGGAGGGCTTGGCACCATAGCTGGAACTTGAGAGATCCTGGGAATGGCAGACCCAGAGGATGTAGCTCCCTCCCTGTAACTCTCTGGCTATGCAATAGTGGCAGTAGAGCAAGAACCAGTACGGCTGCTATGAGCTGGTAAGTCTCAAGGTCACTGCCAAAATCCAGTGCTGAAGCCGGTCACAGCTCCATCACAGCCACCTTGACAGCTGCACGGATCTTGGAAAGAGAGTCCCAGCTCCACCCCCTACCGCCAAACTTCCAGCAGCACATTTGCGGGAGTGGTGGGTGGACCCCCCTGGCTGCTCAGCCAAAGATGGGTTTTCCACTTACAGTGGGATTCAGAACAGATTCCCACAACCAGAAACCAGGATGGCCCGGGGGTCTGCCTTTCATCACCCTGGATTCCTAGCCTTTCGGGTTGCCCCAAAAGCATGCTTTCCAATGTGGGATGGGGACTCCAACATGCATTGCTTTTCCATTTTAAACTATCTCTCCCTCACCGACCCATTCACCCTCAAAAATTTTAACAAATACAAGAAGCAAGCCTACTGTAGCAAAGCCAGGGGATTCTGACCTAACACACCCACCAGGGCAACATGCGGCACACACAGCCCGCACTGAGAAGCTCTCTCGGGACTGACTGAAGCAACCGTGACACTGGCAGGAAACCAGCACCAAACACAGCAAGATATGGAAATGCGTGCAAAACATTTTCTTAAAAATTAATGCAAACTCTACATTTCTTTTTCTTTGGAGATATTTTTGTGATAAAATATGATAAAATTTGCCATTTTGCCATTTCTAAAATATTTTTATCTGTCCCAAACTAACAATAATTCCTCATTTGTCTTCTCCTAGCCATTACTAACTCCTAATTTTCACTTCTATCAACTTGCCTATTCTAGGTACCTCATGTAAGTGGTATCTATCACACACAGTATTTTTTCTATCATGTCTAGCTTGTTTCACTTAGCCTCATGTTCTTAAGATTTAACCATGTTGTAAGATGTATCAGAATTTTATTCCTTTTCAAGGAGGAGTAATATTTCATTGGGTGTATATCTACCCCATTTCATTTATATATTCTTCTGTTGATGTACATTGGGTTGCTTCCACTTTTTGACGACTGTAAATACTGCTATGCAAAGTGGTGCGCAGTCCTGGCAGGTGGCTCAGCTGGTTGGAACAGCACCCTGCACATCAGAAGGTTGAGGGTTCCATCCAGGTCAGGGCACACACCTAGGCTGTGGGTTCGACACCCTGTCAGGGCAGGCTTTCTCTCTTTCTCAAATTAAGAAACACATTCTCAGGTGAAGTATGTATTTGGGTCTCTGCTTTAAATTCTTTTGAGTATACATCTGGGAATAGAGGTGCTAGATAATAATTTTGTTTAATTTATGAGGAATTGCCAAATTATTGTTTTAATCCTCACCCAAGGACTTTTTTTTTTTTTATTGCTTTTAGAGAGAGAGGAAGGGAGTGAGAGAAGCACTGATGCCAGAGAGAAGCATGGATTGCTTGCCTCCCACACAAGCCCTGACTGGGGATGACCCACAAATGTAGGCATGTGTGTGTCCTGTCTGGAAATCGAACCTACAAACTTTCAGTTACAGGACCATGCTCCAACCAACTGAGTCACACTGACCAGGGCCCAAAACATTTTCTAAAGCAGGTACATCATTTTACATTCCCATCAGCAATGCACTCAAGGCAGCTCTGTATTTCTTAAAGTGCCATGCATTTCAGTTACAAATTATGCCTACTACTCCAATACTCAAACATAATTTTTAAAAACCATTTGCTTTTTTATTTATTAATTTTAGAGAGATAGAGGAAAGAGGGAGAAAGAGAAACATTGATATGGTGTGCCACTTACTTGTGTATTAAAGTATCTTTTCTCTTAGAAAAATCACACCATTAGAACTAAAAAAATCAGAGAATATTTAGTCTAACTACTACCTTATTTCATAAACAAGCTAAGGCCTGTGTGTGCAGTATTCCTAAAGAAATAATGTTCCTTATCTCAGTCACACAGCAAATTAGAACTTGACTGAGTCTGGTTCTTCCTAAGCTGCTCTCTCTACAGTTTCTCTTGGTTTTCAATGCCCAGTGATAGACATTTGTAAATATCCCAAAATGATCTTAAAAGAAATGTCTCCAGGGGAAACACTTTGTGAAGTATATCATAATCTAACCACTATGCTGTACACCGGAAACTATTGCCAAATACCATTGAATATAAGGTATAACTAAAAAGAAACCAGACATACAAAGTGACTAGGAGGCATCTTCTAAATTCATCTCAAATAATTCACTCTTCTTTAAAATGATACCTCTGTGGCACAAAATTCTTCTAATATTAGTCACACTCTCCCATGAACTTCTTCTATATTTCTTCTCCCCTCTGGTCTGTTGCAGGGAGCAGGGTCATAGTTTTTGCAGTGGTAAACACATAAAGATATTCTAGGTACCATCTTTTGTAAAATTCTCATAAGTTTACAAAAGGAAATAAGAATAAGGAAAAGCTAGCTCACACTTTTCATAATTCTAACAGAGATCTTAAAGTTAGTTTGGGTTATTTATCATCATCACATACAGGAACCTGAAATACTAACGCTGGACATATTCCTAGTTGAGTGGGTCAAGTGCTGTATTTTACCATGTATAATGTACACCCATGTTTTTGGCCCAGACCTTCAGGGGGAAAAAAATCTTCTGTTTTAATTTAATTTTTAACTTATTTATATTTAAATACTTGTTTTTTGTATTATACAGGAATTTTAGCATTTATTTTTGAACATTATGGTTCAAGAAATTTTATGTAAGAAATAATTACAAAACAAGGACAGATACAAGGTATTTCAAGTTCTACCCATATATAATGAGCATTTTTACTTTTCCCTCAGAAATCTGGGCAAAACAGTGAGTATCATAATGGCAAATTTTGGTGATAACAGTCTGGACATAGCCAGCTAATCCCCTCCCACAGCCTTGCCCTGGCCTCGCCTTCCCCATTTCTTCCCTAAGGCGGCTCTACAGTAGTGCTTTACCCTCTGGGAGCCAGGTCTGCCTCTCGAGTCCCCGCCCCCCCTTCCTCCAACAGTCCTGCTTGCTGCAGGTGAAAATAACTGCTCTTCACCAGCAAGAATTAAGGAACACTGGAAGGGAAGTTCCTCGGCGGTTGCCAAGTGCGAATCACTGACAATGAGGCGAAACATAGATAACCCTAGAGACTAATGGGGCTAGGATATCACTTCTTCCCAATTTCAAAACAATTCTTAGTACTAACTTGAAATTGACAAGCCCAATCCCTCGGTTTAAAGTCTAGACCCATTAATTTGGAGAGAAATTCCGTAACAGCATATATGTGGTTTTCGTCAATTACAAAGAAATCACAGATGATGCTGTTTCGAAAAATTTCCCCTATGAAAAGCACGTTATGGCACCTGAACTGCACCAGCTGGTTTATTGCAGCAGTGGAGAATGGTGGCTGTCACTAACAGAAAACTATGTCCAAATAAACCATGCAACAAGCAATTAAAACTCATTT